CTCCCGGTACCGCCCGGTTCCGGTGCCGGTCGGTGCCTCTCGGTACCGCTCGGTTCTCCCGGTACCGCCCGGTTCCGGTGCCGGTCGGTGCCTCTTGGTGCTCCCCGGGACCTCTTGGTGCCGGTGACGCTCGGAACTGCCCGGTGCCCCCCCGGCAGGCACAGACCGGACACAGACCAGGCACAGACCGGGCACTCACCGGGCACAGACCGGGCACTCACCGGGCACTCACCGGGCACTCACCGGGCACTCACCGGGCACTCACCGGGCACAGACCGGGCACTCACCGGGCACTCACCGGGCACTCACCGGGCACACACCGGGCAGTCACCGGACACAGACCGGGCACACACCAGGAACACACCGGGCACAGACCGGGCACACACCAGGAACACACCGGGCACACACCGGGCACACACCGGGCACACACCGGGCAGTCACCGGACACAGACCGGGCACACACCAGGAACACACCGGGCACACACCGGGCACACACCGGGCACACACCGGGCACAGACCGGACACTCACCGGGCACACACCGGGCACTCACCGGGCACTCACCGGGCACACACCGGGCACTCACCGGGCACACACCGGACACACACCGGGCACTCACCGGGCACTCACCGGGCACTCACCGGGCACTCATTGAGTACTCACCGGACACACACTGGGCACACACCGGGCATTCACCGGGCACTCATTGAATACTCACCGGGCACTCACCGGGCACTCACCGGGCACTCACCGGGCACCGCTGAGCCCGTGCCCTCTGTCCCTGTCCCCGCGCAGAGCCCGACCTGGAGGATTGCGGCTTCGGCTGCCGAGGGACGTCCCCGCAGGAGAGCCTGTCCTCCATGTGAGTGACCGGGGACAGCGGGACAGCGGGACAGCGGGACAGAGGGACAGCGGGGACAGTGGGGACAGCGGGGACAGAGGGACAGGGAGGGGACAATGAGGGGACAGCGGGACAGTGGGGACAGAGGGACAGCGGGGACAGAGGGGACAGAGGGACAGTGGGGACAGAGGGGACAGTGGGGACAGTGGGGACAGGGAGGGGACAGGGAGGGACAGGGAGGGACAGGGGAACAGCCTGGGGATAATGGAGTAGAGATGGAGCAAGAATGGAGTGGGAATGGAGAAGGGATGGAGCAGGAACGGAGCAGGGATGGAGCAGAGATGGAGCAGGGATGGAGCAGGGATGGAGCGGTGATGGAGCAGGGGTGGAGCAGGGATGGAGCAAGGATGGAGCAGGGATGGTGCAGGGATGGTGCAGGGATGGTGCAGGGATGGAGCTGGGATGGTGCAGGGATTGATCAGCAATGGAACAGGGATGGAGCAGGAATGGAGCAGGGATGGAGCGGGGACGGAGCAGGAATGAAACAGGGAATGGAGCAGAGATGGAGAGAGAATGGAACAGAGAACGGAGCAGGAACTGAGCTGGACTGGAGCAGGGGTGGATCAGCAATGGAGCAGGGATGGAGCAGGGATGGAGCAGGGATGGAGCAGGGATGGATCAGCAATGGAGCGGGGATGGATCAGCGATGGAACAGGGATGGAGCAGGGACGGAGCAGCGTCCCCCTGACGCCCCCGGCCCCCCCAGGTCCCCCATCAGCAGCCTGCCGACCCTCTTCGACCAGACCGTGTCGTGCAGCAGCAGCGGGCAGCTGGACAACGTCCCGCAGGCCACCCCCAACATCGAGCAGCTCCTGGAGAAGCAGGGCAACGGCGAGGCCGGCGTCAACAGTGAGAGCGGCCGGGGGGCGAGGGGCAATCCCGGGGCAATCCCGGGGCAATCCCGGGGCAATCCCGGGGCAATCCCGGGGCAATCCCGGGGCAATCCCGGGGCAGCTCCCGGGGCTCCTGGGGCAGTTCCCGGGGCTCCCAGGGGTGAGGTGCAGCTCCGGGGCAGCTCCCGGCGCTCCCGGGGCAGTTCCCGGGGCTCCCGGGGCAGTTCCCGGGGAAGTTCCCGGGGCAGTTCCCAGGGCTCCCAGGGCAGTTCCCGGGGCTCCCGGGGCAGTTTCCGAGGCTCCCGGGGCAGTTCCCGGGGCTCCCGGGGGTGAGGTGCAGCTCCAGGGCAGCTCCTGGGGCAATCCCGAGGCTCCCGGGGCAGTTCCCGAGGCTCCCGGGGCTCCCGGGGCAGTTCCCGGGGCTCCCGGGGCAATCCCGGGGCTCCCGGGGGTAAGGTGCAGCTCCGGGGCAGCTCCTGGGGCAATCCCGGGACAATCCCGGGGCAATCCCGGGGCTCCCGGGGCAGTTCCCGGGGCTCCCGGGGCAATCCCGGGGCAGTTCCCGGGGCTCTCGGGGCAGTTCCCGGGGCTCCCGGGGCAATCCCGGGGCAGTTCCCGGGGCTCCCGGGGCAATCCCGGGGCAGTTCCCGGGGCTCCCGGGGGTGAGGTGCAGCTCCGGGGAGTTCCTGGGGCAATCCCGGGGCAGTTCCCGGGGCTCTCGGGGCAGTTCCCGGGGCTCCCGGGGCAGTTCCCGGGGTTCTCGGGGTGAGGTGCAGCTCCGGGGCAGCTCCTGGGGCAATCCCGGGACAATCCCGGGACAATCCCGGGGCTCCCGGGGCAGTTCCCGGGGCTCCCGGGGGTAAGGTGCAGCTCCGGGGCAGCTCCCGGGGCTCTCCAGGGTTTGGGAGCCAGCTGGAATTTTTGGGATTCTGCCCGCGGGCAGCAGAGCTGAGCAGAGCCAAAGCCCCAGTGTGTGCCGGGGGAGGAGCTGGGGCAGCGCTGTGCGGCCGCTCCCTCCCTCTCTGGGGTGCAATTATGAACTTTGTGATCCTTTTTTTCTTTTTTTCCCCCCATTTTTCCACATCCCTCCTGCTCCGGGGTTTGACTGCAAATCCTGTGATCCCTTTTTTCTTTTTCCCCCCCATTTTTCACCGCTGTGGGGCCGGTCCCTCCCTCTCTGGGGTGCAATTATGAACTTTGTGATCCTTTTTTTCTTTTTTTCCCCACATTTTCCCCATCCCCACCACTCTGGGATTTGACTGTGAATCCTGTCATCCCCTTTTTTCTTTTTTCCCCCCATTTTTCCACATCCACACCGCTCTGGGTTGCAATTATGAATCCTGTCATCCCTCTTTCTTTTTCCCCCCATTTTTCACCGCTGTGGGGCCGGTCCCTCCCTCTCTGCGGGGCGATTATGAATTTTGTGATCCTTTTTTTTTTCTTTTTCCCCCCATTTTTCCCTGTCCCCACCGCTTTGGGATTTGATTGTGAATCCTGTGATCCCCTTTTCTCTTTTTCCCCCATTTTTCACCGCTGTGGGGCCGGTCCCTCCCTCTCTGGGGTGCAATTATGAACTTTGTGATCCTTTTTTTCTTTTTTTCCCCCCATTTTCCCCATCCCCACCACTCTGGGATTTGACTGTGAATCCTGTCATCCCCTTTTTTCTTTTTTCCCCCATTTTTCCCCATCTCCACCACTCTGGGTTGCGATTATGAATCCTGTCATCCCTTTTTCTTTTTCCCCCCATTTTTCACTGCTGTGGGGCCAGTCCCTCCCTCTCTGCGGTGCGATTATGAATTTTGTGATCCTTTTTTTTCTCTTTTTCCCCCCATTTTTCCCTGTCCCCACTGCTCTGGGGTGTGATCATGAACACTGTCATCCCCTTTTTTCTTATTTTCCCCCATTTTTCCCCATCTCCACCACTCTGGGGTGTGATTGTGAATCCTGTGACCCCTTTTTTTCTCTTTTTCCCCCATTTTTCCACATCCCCACCACTCTGGGCTGCGATTATGAATCCTGTCATCCCTTTTCTCTTTTTCCCCCATTTTTCACCACTGTGGTGCTGGTCCCTCCCTCTCTGCGGTGCGATTATGAATTTTGTGGTCCTTTTTTTTCTTTTTCCCCCCATTTTTCCCTGTCCCCACCCTGGGGTTTGATTGTGAATCCTGTGATCCCTTTTCTCTTTTTCCCCCCATTTTTCACCACTGTGGTGCCGGTCCCTCCCTCTCTGGACTGCGATTATGAATCCTGTGACCCCTTTTTTTCTCTTTTTCCCCCCATTTCTCCACATCCCCACCACTCTGGGCTGCGATTATGAATTTTGTCATCCCTTTTCTCTTTTTCCCCCATTTTTCCACATCCCCACTGCTCTGGGCTGCGATGATGAATCTTGTGACCCCTTTTTTCTCTTTTTTCCCCCATTTTTCACCGCTGTGGTGCCGCTCCCTCCCTCTCTGGGCTGTGATGATGAATCCTGTGACCCCTTTTTTCTCTTTTTCCCCCATTTTTCCCCATCTCCACCACTCTGGGCTGCAATGATGAATCCTGTGACCCCTTTTTTCTCTTTTTCCCCCATTTTTCCCCATCTCCACCACTCTGGGCTGCGATGATGAATCCTGTGACCCCTTTTTTCCCTTTTTTCCCCCGTTTTCGGGTCCCCCCGCAGTCGTGGAGATGCTGAAGGCGCTGCACTCGCTGCAGAAGGAGAACCAGCGGCTGCAGGAGCAGATCATGACGCTGACGGCCAAGAAGGAGCGGCTGCAGCTGCTCAACGTCCAGCTCTCCGTGCCCTTCCCCGTGGTCACCGCCGGCAGCAACGGCCCCGCCGGCCAGGCCCACTACATCCTGCCCGCCAACGGTGAGCGCACCGGGCACCGGGCACCGGGCACCGGCACCGGGCACTGGGCACCGGGCACTGGCACCGGACACTGGGCACCGGGGTGAGGGAACTGGGGTGAGGGCATTGGGCACTGGGGTGAGAGAACCGGGCACCGGGCACTCGGGTGAGGGCATTGGGCACCGGGGTGAGGGAACCGGGCACCGGGCACTGGGCACCGGGGTGAGGGCATCGGGGTGAGAGCACCGGGCACTGGGCACCAGGCTGAGGGCATCGGGGTGATGGCACCGGGCACCGGGCACTGGGGTGATGGCATTGGGCACCGGGGTGATGGCACCGGGCACTGGGCACCGGGATGAGGGCACCGGGCACCGGGGTGATGGCACCAGGCACCGGGCACCAGGGTGATGGCATTGGGCACCGGGGTGATGGCACCAGGCACCGGGCACTGGGCACCGGGCACCGGGGTGAGGGAACAAGGGTGAGGGCACCAGGCACTGAGCACCAGGGTGATGGCATTGGGCACCGGGGTGATGGCACCGGGAAATGGGCACCGGGATGAGGGCACCGGGCACTGGGGCGAAGGCACTGGGGGTGAGGGCACCAGGACACCGGGCACCGGGGTAAGGGAACAAGGGTGATGGCACCAGGCACCGGGACACTGGGCATCAGGGTGATGGCACCGGGCACCAGGGTGATGGCATTGAGCACCGGGGTGAGGGCACCAGGGTGAGGGAACTGGGATGAGGGCACTGGGTGATGGCATCAGGCACTGGGCACCGGGGATGAGGACACCGGGGTGAGGGCGTCGGGGTGAGGAAACCGGGCACCGGGCACCAGGCACCGCGGTGATGGCACCGGGCACTGGGCACCGGGGTGAGGGAACAAGGGTGAGGGCATCAGGGCACCGGGACACTGGGCACTGGGCACCAGGCACCGGGGTGATGGCACCAGGAACTGGGCACCGGGCACCAGGGTGAGGGAACAAAGGTGAGGGCATCAGGCACCGGGGTGATGGCATCGGGCACCGGGGTGAGGGTACCGGGGTGAGGGAACAAGGGTGATGGCATCAGGTACTGGGGTGAGGGCACTGGGAACTGGACTGATGGCACCGGGCACTGGATACCAGGGTGAGGGCACCGGGGTGATGGCACCAGGCACTGGGGTGATGGCACCGGGCACCGGGGTGAGGGCACCGGGGCTGAGGGCATTGGGGATGAGGGCACCGGGACACAGGGCATCAGGGTGATGGCACCAGGATGAGGGTACCAGGGTGAGGGCAACAGGGGTGAGGGAATGAGGGGTGACAGCACTGGGGATGAGGGCACCGGGGCACCGGGGATGAGGGCACTGGGGCTGAGGGCACCGGGGATGAGGGGCAATGGGGGTGAGGGTACCAGGGTGAGGGCACTGGGCACCGGGGATGAGGGCACTGGGGCTGAGGGCACCGGGGATGAGAGTTCCAAGGCTCAGGGCACCGGGGTGAGGGCACCGGGGATGAGGGCACTGGGATGAGGGCACCGGGGAGGGGCAATGGGGGTGAGGGCACCGGGATGAGCACACCGGGCACCGGGATGAGGGCACCGGGGCACCAGGACACTGGGCATTGGGGTGATGGCACCGGGGTGATGGCACTAGGGGTGATGGCACTGGGGTGAGGGCACCGGGGTGAGGGCACCGGGGTGAGGGTACCGGGGTGAGGGGCAATAGGGGGTGAGGGCACCGGGATGAGCACACCAGGCACCGGGATGAGGGCACCGGGGCACCAGGACACTGGGCATTGGGGTGATGGCACCGGGGTGAGGGCACTGGGGTGATGGCACCGGGGTGATGGCACCGGGGTGAGGGCACCCAGGACGTGTCCCCGCGGTGCTCGGGGGTGTCACGGGGGGCGGATCTGTCCCAGGGCCGCCTCCGGGCCCGTCGCTGACTCTGCCGTCCCCTCGCAGCGTGCGCCGGCGACTCGCTGAGCGCCAAGAGCCCCCCGTGCAAGAACAGCTTCGGCATCGAGAACTCGCTCTCCACCTCCTCCGAGGTACCGCGGCCCCGCGGCCACCGGCGCCGGTGGCACCGCGGCCCCGGGGCTCGCTAGCCACCCGGCCAAACCCGCTTTGGTAGCCACCCAGCCAAACCCACTAGCACAGGTTCAGTAGCCACCTGGCCAAACCCGCTTTGGTAGCCACCCGGCCAAACCCGCTTTGGTAGCCACCCAGCCAAACCCACTAGCACAGGTTCAGTAGCCACCTGGCCAAACCCGCTAGCACAGGTTCAGTAGCCACCTGGCCAAACCCGCTAGCCCAGGCTCGCTAGCCACCCGGCCAAACCCGCTTTGGTAGCCACCCGGCCAAACCCGTTAGCCCAGACTCAGTAGCCACCCGGCCAAACCTGCTAGCCCAGGGCTCGGTAGCCACCTGGCCAAACCCGCTTTGGTAGCCACCCAGCCAAACCCACTAGCACAGGTTCAGTAGCCACCTGGCCAAACCCGCTAGCCCAGGCTCGGAGATCAGCTGCTCCCTGTAGCTGGGCAGCAGGAGCGCTCCCAGGGGATCCTGCACATCCAGCAGGGCTCTGAGTTTGGGGACCCCTTGGACTGGAGCCACCGGAGCCACCGGAGCCACCGGAGCCACCCCGAGCCCCCCGAGCCACCCTGAGTCCCTCCTTTTCCCGCCCTGAGCCCCCCGAGCCACCCCGAGCCACCTGAGCCAATCTGAGCCACCCTGAGCCACCCTGAGCCCCCCAAGCCACCCTGAGCTCCTCCTTTTCCCACCCTAAACCACCCTGAGCCACCTGAGCCAATCTGAGCCACCCTGAGCCCCCCAAACCACCCCAAACCACCCCGAGACACCAAAACCACCCTGAGCCACCCGAGCCACCCCAAGCCACCCTGAGTCCCTCCTTTTCCCGCCCCGAGCCACCCCGAGCCTCCTGAGCCAACCCAAACCACCTGAAGCCACCCCGAGCCCCCAAACCACCCCAAACCCCCCAAACCACCCCAAGCCACCCCGAGCCACCCAAACCACCCCGAGCCACCCTGAGCCACCCTGAGCCACCCCAAGACACCCAAACCACCCCAAGACACCCCGAGCCACCCTGAGTCCCCCAAAGCACCCCAAGACACCCCAAACCACCCCAAACCCCCCAAACCACCCCGAGCTACCCTGAGCCACCCAAACCACCCGAGCCAACCCAAACCACCCCGAGCCACCGTAGCCACCCCGAGCCACCCAAACCACCCCAAACCACCCTGAGACACCCAAACCACCCCGAGCCACCCCGAACCACACCGAGCCACACCGAGCCAACCCAAACCACCCCGAGCCACCGTAGCCACCCCGACCCCCTCCTTATCCCACCCCGAGCCGCCCTCCGCCCCACCCCGACTCCCCGTGTCCGTCTGTCCCCCAGGAGCCCCCGTCGGGCTGTCCCAGCCGGAGCAGCTCCTCGCTGTCCTTCCACAGCACCCCGCCGCCCCTGCCCCTGCTGCAGCCCAGCCCCGCCGCGCTGCCCCTGCCCGGGGCGCAGCCCCTGAACGGCCTGGCCAGGGGGGCGAGCGGGGGGCTGGCAGCCGCCTCGGGGGCCGGCCACGGCCTCCCGGCGGTGCCCGGCGTGGTGGACGGCTTGTTGGGCAGCTTGGCCGGGGCGCAGCAGGTGCCCCTGAACGGGATCCTGGGCAGCCTGAACGGGGCGCAGGCAGCGCAGGGTGCCCCGCAGCCCGGCGGGACCCCGGCGCTGCAGCTCTCCGGGAGCCTGAGCAGGTGAGCACCCAGGGGTCCCGCAGCTCTGCAGCCTCGGGGGAGGGAGGGCAGGGAGGGACGGAGCGGGTCTGACCCTCCCCAGCATCAGGTGAAGGAGGGATGGAGAGATCCTGCAAGTCTGCAGCCTCGGGGGAGGGAGGGCAGGGAGGGACAGAGTGGTCCTGCCCCTCCCCAGCCTCAGGTGAGGGAGGGACAGAGCGATCCTGCCCCTCCCCAACATCAGGTGAGGGAGGGACGGATCCTGCCCCTCCCCATCCTCAGGGAGGGATGGATGGAGCGATCCTGCCCTTCCCCATCCTCAGGTGAGGGAGGGATGGAGAGATCCTGCCCCTCCCCAGCATCAGGTGAGGGAGGGACAGATCCTGCCCCTCCCCAGCCTCAGGTGAGGGAGGGACGGAGCGGTCCTGCCCCTCCCCATCCTCAGGTGAGGGAGGGACGGAGTGGTCCTGCAAGTCTGCAGCCTCAGGGGAGAGATCCTGCCCTTCCCCATCCTCAGGTGAGGGAGGGATGGAGCGATCCTGCCCCTCCCCATCCTCAGGTGAGGGAGGGACGGATCCTGCCCCTCCCCATCCTCAGGTGAGGGAGGGACAGAGCGATCCTGCCCTTCCCCATCCTCAGGTGAGGGAGGGACGGGGCGATCCTGCCCTTCCCCATCCTCAGGCGAGGGAGGGACGGGGCGATCCTGCCCCTCCCCAACATCAGGTGAGGGAGGGACAGAGCGATCCTGCCCTTCCCCATCCTCAGGTGAGGGAGGGAGGGACGGATCCTGCCCCTCCCCATCCTCAGGTGAGGG